CGGACAGGGACCCCCTGGGAACCACTAGGCACCGTCTGAGGCTTCTCCGGGTGAACTGACTCCCCGGCGGCTCGTGGGAAAGGCGCCTCCCCATCATCAGAGTCGAGCCCTCGTCGGGCCGCTGTGTTTTCAGACCACACCTTGACGGATGCCTCCCGCCCTGCTGGTGAAATAACCGGCTCGAATGTGTGTCGCATCTGGATGTAATTAGAAAGCGGTCCTGTCGCCCAGCCGCTCCCTGGGACACTCATGCTGGAAGAAAATGCCGGAACCCGCCTTTCTGAACAGACCACACGGCCGAGCACAGGGTTCGGGGAGCCCTGCGTCCTTCCCGAAAACTCCAGCCAAACGCACAGGTGAGGGGCAGCTCCACACACTTTGTAACCCTGACGACGGGAAGGAAGGAGCGTGTGTGTGTCCAGGACAGGTCACCCCTCCCGAGCTGCACCCCTGGGGGAGGATCTGGCCTGAGAAGTCTGACACACACACACACCCCGTTTGCTTTTGGTCATCTAGTGGGGTTTTTTTTTTTAACCCTCAAGGATACTTTTCCCAGTGCTTTTTCAGAGAGAGTGGAAGAGAGAGAGAGAGACATCGATCAGTGGCCTCCCACATCCCCCCGACCCGGGCTGGGGACCGAGCCTGCAACTGAGGCACATGCCCCTGGCTGGAATCGAACCCCGGACCCTTCAGTCCGCAGGCTGACGCTCCAACCACGGAGCCACACCGGCCAGGGCAGGTCGTCTGGTTCTTAACGTGGCTGCTTTTAGGACTTGACTAGCCCTCGCTGGTTTGGCTCAGCAGTTTAGGCGTCGAGGGCTTCTCGGGTTCGATTCCCACTCAAGGGCAGGTACCTGGGTTGTGGGTTCGCTTCCCGCCCCCCGGTCGGGACACATGAGGGAGGCAACCAGTTGACGTGTCTCTCCCACGGACGTTCCCCTCTCCCTTCCACGCTCTCTGAAAAGCAATGGAAAAAACACCCTCAGGTGAAGATTAACAACAAAGTTGTGTTTCCCGTTCATGTCATTTTGCAAACGAGGTTTGCTCCTTCCACGGGAAAAACGGCGAAGTCGGTTCTGCAGAGAAAGCCGGAGGGCGGCGAGCTCCCCCCCCAAGGCTGCTCCGCCTTCCTCCCGGAAGGCCAGTTCCCGCAGCGAAGAGGTGCTCTTTGGGCCCAACAGTCACCCCTAAAGATGAGGCGCACAGCGAGGTCCCTGTGCGTTGGTCGCTGGCGCCCAGGTTGTGCCTTTTCCCTCCGCTCCACGTACCGCGCTGGCCCCGGTCATGCCCGAGCCCTGTCTGTGCCCAGCGTCCTCTCTGGTAACGTGGCTTCCTCGGGGTTCGGCACCTTTAGGGAGTGGGAGCCTGCCGAGGGGGGAGGCCGCAAGGGGTGTTTCGGGGGCGAGACCCCCAGCGGAAGGGCGGCCCCGGAGCCCATGGGGCAGGGCGCCTGTTGCATAGACCTCGGCAGGCGGGCGAGGCGGCGGGCACAGGGGCACTCTGCAGGGTCGCCGCTACAGAAGGTCACAGCACGCGCACCTGCAGGAGGGGCGGGGGGGGACCCCGAGGCCTGTCAGCCCTTACCCCACACGCCTGACGGAGCCCCGCTGCTCTCAGAGACCGAGTACGGCCTCTCCCTCCGTCCGTCCGTCCGTCCGTCCTGCTGGCCACGCAGGCCACGGGCCCCCCAGAGGCTGTGTCCGCTGAAGCCGCACCTTGAAGGTTCAGACATCACGGTTCCCTTTCATCCGGCCCCCCCGCCCCANAAGTACGGCCTCTCCCTCCGTCCATCCGTCCGTCCTGCTGGCCACGCAGGCCACGGGCCCCCCAGAGGCTGTGTCCGCTGAAGCCGCACCTTGAAGGTTCAGACATCACGGTTCCCTTTCATCCGGCCCCCCCGCCCCAGCCGGCGACCGGCTGTGCTGGCTTCCCCTCGCGTCACAAGGGAGCGTCACAAATTGGACCTAAAACGAGCCAGACTCACTCCCAGCCCTGGGGGCCAGAAGCTAAGCTCCGGGTGGGGGCAGGGCCCTGCTCCCTCTGGAGGCGGCTGGGGAGGGTCCTTCCTGCCTCTGCCTGCTGCCCCGTGGCCTCCTGCATTGGGGGGCTTGCGGCTGCCCGCGTGCCCTTCCCGTCTGTCTGTCTGTCCTCTCCCGTCTTGCGAGGACGCTTGTCATTGGATTCAGGACGCGCTCGGTTAATCCAGGGTGATCTCCTCTTTGGATCCTTAATTGCATCTGCAAACACCTTCTCCATAAAAGGTCATGTTCCGAGGCCCCAGGGTCAAGACCCGAGCATCTTCTGGGGGTGACCGTCTAACCTGCCACAGCTGCTGACTTAATAGCCTAATAACCTTGCAGCGGGGACGTTGGGGTAGCCCCGTCTAGGTGATTTAACCACTAATAGGAACCCAGCTACACCTGGAACCCAGGACGCCTGAACGCCCAGCAGGGAGCAGAAGCAGAAGCAGGTGGAGGGCTGGTTCTTTCCCAGCACGAAACCAACCTCTGCCCACAGACCCCGTCACCATGCAGGGATCCTCTCCCCCCGAAACGCGGACACCTCGCCACTGTTTTCACTTTCTACCTTTGATAGAGACACGGGTAACAGGATTGTCATCGTAACTACAGCAAATCAAACCAGAGTGAGATGAGAAAAAGATTAAACATTTTTTTAAAGTGAATGAACAGTCCTGGCCGGTGTGGCTCAGTTGGCTGAGTGTCCTCACAGGCACGGAGAGGTCGCGGGTTCGATTCCAGGTCAGGGCACGTGCCCGGGTTTCAGGCTCGATCCCCAGTAGGGGGCGTGCAGGGGGCAGCCCATCCATGTTTCTCTCTCCCCCTCTCCCTTCCTCTCTCCATAAATAAAAATATATATAAGCTATTTTTAGTGTGAGCGTGTTACTTCATATATACATGAAAAACACAATATAGAAAAAAATCAAAAAAGAAACTATAAATACATTTTTACCATAAGCATATATTCCAGATATATATGGAAAACACAATATATAAAAATGCATTTTAAAATATCTCTAATGTACATTAAAAACACAAAATATAAATATTTTCATAGTGAGCATATGTAACTTTTACATATATCAGGAAAATATAAGACAAGATTCCTGAAAGAGGAAACCTCTCCCCCACACGCACATGCAAACTGGTCCCTCGCTTGGGCCCGGCCTCAGGAAGAATCCACACCCCTCCCCGGCCCCCTCCACTCCTCAGGGCCACCTTTCGGGCGCCTGGCCACCAGCTTCAAGGCCAGCGACATCTCTAAAGACTTACACCCGAGAAATTATAGAATCAAAAGGAATCCTCGCCTGTGTTTCTAGAGACCTCGCCCAGGGCCAGCCTACCCTGGGTGTGACCGTGTCTCCAGCCCCACAGCCCCGGGTAGCCGCAGCCCGAGGACAGGGCTCCGGGGGCTCCCAGGCGAGGCCAGGTTTCCTGCGGCTGACCACAGCGGGAAGGGCAGGGGGCCTGAGACAGCCAGGCAAGGCCCCAGCTGTGTCAGGACACAAACGGTTTTTCCGGCTGTTGAGTTGACAGCTGCAGAGTCAGTGCCCTCGGGGCCGGGGAAGGAGGCGCCCACAGCTGTGCTCCAGGCAACTGCTGCAGCCCCGGGAGCCTGTGTGGGTGACCGAGATGGGGGTGACCGGCATGGGGGTGACCGGGATGGGGTCCAGGAGGCAGAGGGCGGATGTGCTCTTCCCCGCGTCTCTCTGGTTAGCCCGTCGGTACGTCTACAGGTTGGATCCAGGAGGAAACTGGGGAGCGAAGGAGACGGACACAAGCGGATACTCTCCACGGGGATCACGAGGCCCCTTCCCGGGATGGGCAGGGGGGGCTGCTGGGCTCCTGCCCCCCAGATGCTGGCTGCCTCTTTCCTAAGTGAAACCACCAGGATCTGGGGCCCCGAACAAGCGCGGGGAGGGTAAGGACCACTTGGCAGGTTGTCATCCGGGCTGCCTGGCTCAGCTGCGAGCCAGACCCTCGCCGTAACCCTTTGAGGGCCAGGGCGCCAGCGTCTCCTGTCCTCGAGGAGGGGCAGCTGAGAAGGCCAAGGGCAGCCCTGCCAGTGCCTGCGCCCTGCGCCCTGCGGCCAGCCTGGACAGACGGCCCCAAGCACCACACAAAGCTGGGCACCAGAGGGACACACAGAAAGGGGGTGGTGTCAGGAAAGTGACCGGCCACGGTCCGAGGGAGCCAGCCTTCTCTCTGTTTCACGGGCCAAGGTGGCCAACGGCCCCGTTTTCCTAGGCTTCTTTCATTTCCACCGGGAAGCCCTCCTGCTGGGTGGCACCTTCTCAGATGGGCGCCGTGTGGGCGGCTCAACCTGACGGAAGCAGGTCCTCTCAGCTCTGGGGGCCGGGAGTCTGAAGGCCGGGGGTCGGCCGGGCCGGGCTCCCTCTGAAGACTCCAGAGATGGGCCTTCTGTTCCCTCCCCGAAGGCTGACGTCCTTCATGACAAGAGCCCGAGGTCACCGCCACGGCGTGGACACGGCGCATCCCACGCAGCTGACTCACGTCTCGCCAGCTTCCGCAGTTCTCTGCTTTTGGGGGGTGTAGCTTACCCACAATTCAGTGCACCGTTTTAGTTTTAGTTTTATATGTTTTTATTGATGTTTAGTGAGAGAGGAAGGGAGAGGGAGAGAGAAACATCAATGATGCGAGAGAGTCAGCGACGGGCTGCCTCCTGGGGATCGAGCCCCCAGCCCGTGCGTGCGCCCTGACGGGGAACCCGACCTTGACCTCGGGGTTCCTGGGTCGACGGCCAACCACCGGGCCACGCTGGCGGAGCTAAGGTGCACCCCTTTTAAACACTGGTCCCCTCGCTTTGGTAAATGTACACAGTCGCACAACCGCCGCCGCGACTGGGTGTTAGGACACCGGAGACGGCGCGGGAAGGCCGGAGGGGCGCGCCCCGGGCTCTTTGCAGTTACCGTTTGTAGTTTTAACTCGTGCAACCGATACACATGCAGTGAGCAGGCACGATTTTTTAAAAAATAAGCAAAAGTTAGACAAATGTATTTCCAGACTTTCGTATTTCCAGACACAGACGTCGTTCACAAATGCAGCACCATCCTGCGCATACGGCTTTATAAGCCACTTCTTCTTAACGTCACAGACCTGTCTGCCGCGACGAGAGAGAACAGTCCGAGTTTTTACGGCCACGAGGCATCTGCCATCGGGCTGTCCCAGGAGCAGAGCAAAGGAAGCCCCGGGGACGGTGAAGGAAACTGCTAGTGCCGCCCAGAGAGTATCCTGCCAGGAGGCCCCCAGGTGGCCTTTCTCTGTCGGTCCCCACAGCGCCCCCGGCGCAGGCAACCACGGACCTGCTCCCTGGGTCTGCCCTTTCCTAGAATTGCACAGAAATGGAAGCCTTGTGCCTGGCCGCTGGCCCCGAGCGTGGCGCGTGGAGACGTGTCTTCACGGGCGTCCCGTCAGTAATTGTTTCCTTTCCGCCGCTGAGCCATGTCCCTGCGCCGCTGCTCCGAACCTCGCGGGTCCGTGGGCCAGCTGACGAGCGCCGGGTCGCCTCCGCTTTTTGGCTGTTACGAACGAAGCTGCCGTGAGCGAGCATGTATGAGATCTGCGGGGACACGTGTTTTCAATTCCCTCGGATTGAGACCTGGGGGGTCGGGGCCGTAGGGTGAGTGTGCTTGTCACTTTAAGAAACTGACTAATTCCCAAAGCGGCAGGGCCTGCGGGTTCCCATTTCCCCACAGCCGCCCGGGCCTATCTGCTCCTGCGAAGTGTGCTTTTTCGTTTCAATAAGTTTCTTAATAAGTTTTAAACATCAGTGATGAGAGTCATTGATCGATGCCTCCTGCACGCCCCCTACTGGGGATTGAGCTGCAACCCCATGTGCCCTGACCGGGAATCAAACCGGTGACCTCTTGGTTCCTGGGTCGATGCTCAACCACTGAGCCACACTGACCAGGCCAGAGGTGGGGTTTGCTTTTTTTTTTTTTAATCCTTACTTGAAGATATTTTTTTCCCATTGCTTTTCAGAGAGAGAGAGAGAGAGGAACATTGATGTGAGAGAGACACACCAGTTGGTTGCCTCCCACAGGAGCCCCGATCAGGGATCAAGCCTGCAGCCGAGGTAAGCACCCTTGACCGGAATCGAACCCAGGACCCTTCAGTTCGAAGGCCAATGCTCTAACCACTGAGCAAACTGGCCAGGGCCGGAGGTGTGTTTTTTTAAAAAATCCCCACCCAAGGATACGTTTAGAGAGAGGAAGAGAGAGAGAGAACCATGGATGGGTTGCCCCACGGTACGTGCCCCAACCGGGGCTCAAACTGCAACCTAGGTGTGTGCCCTGACCAGGAATCGAACCCGAGACCACTCTGGTGTATGGGGTGATGCTCTCAACCAACAGAGTCACCCGGCGAGGGCAGTGCGGTCTGCTTTCCATTTGCATTTCACTCATGAGCAGTGAGGTTGAGCGTCTTCTGAGGGGCAGGGTGACATTCTCACATCTGCTTCTGGGCTGCGTCTATTTCGATTCTTTCCCCACCACACGCCCTTGGCCTCCAGTCTCCTATGTCATTGCATCGTGATCAGACAACGGGGCCTCTATAGTTTCCACTTTTGGAATTTGATATTCTTCGTGGCCTCGAAGTCCGAATTGGGGCCCGGGCCTTTCCCTCAACTACAGGTTGTTTAAAGGTAGGCATGGGCCAAATTCCTCCCGAGAGAGAGTGTGTGTGTGATTTTAAACCCTCAAGCCCTCAAGTAAATTAAAAATCAGTTTAGAGACCCGGGCAAGAGCTGGGTGAGCGCGCAGGGAAGCCGGTGCTCTCGCTCCGTGGGTGGGGATGGAAGTGGTTTGGTGACTCAGGAAAGCAGTTTGCCATGAAGTCCAGATTCTCCGCACCACTTGTGCCCTGTTGTAGGTCATTCCACACCTGAGAAATCTCTTAGGAAATAAAACGAGAGTCAGATGCCCGGCTGGGTGTGGCTCGGCGGTTGAGCATCCACCTATGAACCAGGAGATCGCCGCTCAACTCCCGGTCAGGGCACATGCCCAGGTTGCCGCTCGATCCCCAGCCGGGGGCGTGCAGGAGGCAGCCGATCAATGACTCTCTTCATTGATGTTCCTCTCTCTCCCTCTCCTTTCCTCTCTGAAATCAATAAAGATATTTAAAAAAAAAAAAAAGACGGTCAGAGATGCACAGAAAGATTTCTTTACGTACCAATTCTTCTCTAAGCTGAAAAACTGGAAGCCGCGGGCAGCTGGCTTCAATGAAGCGTGGTGCGTTCAGACCGGCGAATCCTGGGCCGTCCTTAAAGCTCAAGTTCGTAAAGTCTTTTCAGTGACGGAGGAAACCAGGTATCCTGTTAAACAAATAAAGCAGCTGGAGATACACACACAGGGTCATGTCAATATTATAAAAATACCTGAATGCATGTCTGTGCAGGGAGAAAACGGGGGGGAGACTAAAACTACCGCAGTGTTAGCGCCGGGATGTGAGATTAAAATTAAATTTTCTCTCATTCTTACACGTGTGTGTATTTGGCAAAATTTCTGTGATGAGCACACGTTGCTCTGTAGTCAGCACATCTGAACCCAGACCTGGAAATCAGACAGGTGGGTGAGGGCAGAGGGGTGGGGGCCCACCTGTGGGGAACAGGCTTTTTTTTAAGCAATTTTAAAATTATTATTGGTTTTGAGAGAGAGAGGAAGGGAAAGGGAGAGAGAGAAACAGCGACGTGAGAGCAAAACATCGATCGGCTGCCTCCTGCAGGGCCCAGGCTCCGAGGCGGCAGCCTGGACGCCCGTCCGGTGCTCTGGCTGCCCTATGCTCACCCGCAAGGTGAGGTCATTCCCTGACTCCAAACGCAATTCCTCTGAATGTCGCCGAAATTCCTGCCAACCAGAAGCAGGAAAAGGAACTTTGAAAAACATACATCCTTTGGATTTACCTTCACGCTGTCTCGGCCAGAAGCCTCAGGATTAAACAGGAAACAAAAAACTCTTGTTTTGGGCGCCCTGAGTGACATTTCTTTGCTTGGGTTCTTTGATCTAAGACGGAACCAGCTAAAGAAGGGAGTGAAGCAGAACTTGCACTTGACTCAAAGGGGATTTGCCGCGCAGCTCCCAGAGCCAGGCCGCTCTCTCCCGCAGCCCCTGGGTTTATCCACGGTGCCCGCGGAGCCACAGAGGCCACGTGAGAGGGCCTCCAGCGTGGAGCAGCAACCGACAAAACCGTGAACGTGGACTCGTTTGCTACTTTGAATCCCCAGACCGAGGACTGGCGTTTAAGCAAGGGCTTCACTCCGGATTTCAGAACTTGGTTTTACGTGAGTTCTGTTTAAGTTCGTGAAAATAACGCATTTCACGCCATCCTGCAGCCGGCAAAGGTCTTGAAGAAACACAGCTGTGGGGTGGGGAACAGACGCCACCCGCCTGGGCTGGAACACCACCGAGACCGGCTCGGTGCCCAGCACGCTCGGAGATGCCCTCCGTGAACCTGAAATTCTAGGGTGGCCAAGCATGTGGGGACAGAAGCAACCGCACGTGTCCGGGGTGAGAGCGTAGCTCAGGGCAGCTCCACGGGGGACGGCTGGCAACAGGTCACAGAGCGAGCAGACCCACGTCCCCTCTAACGGCACCTGGGGGCTGTCCCACAGGCGTGGGGCGCGGGGTGTGTGCAGAGGGAAGACGTTCGTCCCTGCATTGTTTCTGCTGGAAAACACCTGCCACCAGGGACTGATAGGACTGCAAAATTAACAAACAACACCCTTGAAATTTAAAGCCTTATGCAATGGAGCTCTGGCCAGTTTTGCTCAGTGGCTAGAGCATCGGACTGTAGACTGAAGGGTCCCGGGTTCGAGTCCAGCCAAGGGCACGTACCTCGGTTGCAGGCTTGATCTCCAGTCCTGGTCGGGGCGCGTGCGGGAGGCAACCGATGTGAGGATGTTTCTCTCTCTGTCTCTCCCTTCTACTCTCTCCGAAAATCAATGGAAAAAGTATCATCAGGTGAGAATTTAAGAAGAAAAAAAAAGAAAGCCTTCTGCAATCGCGATCTCCCACAGAGGGCTCTGGTCTGGTCTCCAAAGCAGCACTGTAACGGGCTAGGTTAATTGTCGGTTTCCCACCTCCTATTAACAACATTCCTAACCTTCCCTGCCCCCAGGACGCAAGGGGGCCAGTCCGTGCAGGTCTGAAGGGCCGGGCGCTAGGCCAGGCAGCTGGTCCCGGGAGCCCAGAAGGCTGCCGACGCCTCGTTCCCCTGGAGGGCCTGCTGAGCGCCGGACCCTGACCCCGCCAGGCACACGTGGGAAACGCCAGGAGCAGGCTCCACGACCTGAAGCCACGGAGGGCCCCTTCTCCTCATCTGCAAAATGAGGCTGGGACAGGCTGCCCTTTGTAACAAGTGTCACAAACAGCGTCTGCCGAGCTCGGGCTCCTGGGTCAGGCTCCCCGGGCGGGGCCCGGGGAGGCCTCAGGCAAACTGGAAGCTTGAGAACTTCGGCGCGCACCTGACGGTGCTTATTTTTACTTGGGTTCTGATACATAAACACCGCGTGTCCCGTGCGGATAATATTTATCAGTTACATGCACAGAAGCAGCGTCAGGTGGCCCGGCGAGCCTGCAGTTCGCACCTCCGTCTAGCGAACGTGAGGGGACCTGGGCGGGGACAGATCACGGCATTCACTACTAAAAGGCCCCGCATGTATCATACGTGCCGTTTATCCCAGGCGGGCCTTGCGGGGTGAGGCTGGCGGCGACGGAGCTGGTGACCCCTTTTGGCCAACCCCACAATCACCATCACCAGGCGGCATTTGCAGAAACACTAAGGGCCGTCCTGAGACGGTGTGTAAGACGTAACTAATGTTACCCGGCTCTGCTGCCAACGTGGACAGATGGAGGGGTTGGCGCCATCTCAACTCCCGACTCTCCCCGTGACTTGGGAGGGATGCTATCATGCCATTTTTTGCCTCGGTGTATTTTCTTTGATTTTCAGGCCACAGGAGCAGCGTGGAAACGCTCACCTTTCCTTAGCGGTATTTCAGACATTGACGAGCTCATGGCTGCACAGAAAGCGGCCTTAAATGACGTATTTAGCCTGAATACGCTCCTGTATGCCTTTACAATGAATCATTTTGGGACGTTTTTAATATTTGCACACATAATGAAGCACAAATGGAAGCGTAGGCAAACTTTTCATGTTCCGGGGTCAATTTAAGTAACTGTGTGACTTCTGCCTAAAGTAAAGGGTGGATCTCCCTTGAATTCTCACAAACCTATACTGGCTGGTACGTGACCACCAGCTACAAGCGGCTATTTCCACGTAAAATTCAATTTAAAATTCTGTTCCTCAGCAGCACTGGCCGCAGATGGCTGGTAGGTAAGGGACTGAAGGGCGCAGCTGGAAGGACACTGCATCGCCTCGGGAAGTCCTGGCAGACCTGGCGGCCCACACTCCTCACCGGTCTATCCAGGGTGCCTGGGTGACAGCAAACGCTTGTTGACTGAGTAAGAAAGTCGTTGTTCTAACTTGTCTTAAATCGTCCTTCCAGGTGACAATCAAAACAGAAGAATTTCTCTGCTTTAGCCCAATCCCGTGTTTCCACACGATTGTTTAGCTGGAATTATTCCTCCCTTCTGCCTACTTCCCGGTTTGTTTGGTTTTTAATTTTCTAAATTGATTTTAGAGGGGTGGGGGGAGAGAGAAACATTGATGGGTTACCTCCCGAACACACATGGGCCGGTGATTGAAGCTGCACCTGGACATGGGCCCTGGCTGGGAACAGAACCCACGCTTTTTGGTGGATGGGGCGTAGGACCCTCCAACCAACCGAGGCATGCCGGCCGGGCTCCAGTTTTGTTTTTAAGGCATGCCTCACAAGTCTTGGGTCATAATCCTCACTCACCCTGTTTATCTGATCATTTAATTCTACTCAAATCAGTCACATTTGTTTCTCCAAATAAATTATCTAAACATTATTTCACCCAAACTGAGTGTTCAGAGTTGGAGATGGCAATGTGTTAAACCTCCCAAGAAATTGATATTTTTCCCCCCAATGGGTTAGAACCAACTTCTAGACAAGCTTATTTCTTAGGGGAAGAGAGAATTCCGTTTTTAAAGCTTTCTTTTCTAGAAAGAAAAAAGAAAGAACAAAAAAAGAAAGTTAGTTTGTTTCCAGGATGCCATATATCACCAAGAGGAAACGAACCTTCCAGGGCAAAAGCCTCAGACCCACAAGGAAACGTGAGCTGAAGCTGACCAACCTATTTGTTGGATTACAGTGGACACACCTCTGGCCTGGGCCCCACAACTGACCGCCCGGCGCAACAAGATGGGGCCACAGAAAGAACTGGAGAGAGATTGTAACCGGCTCTCTCCACCCCAGGACTGCAATTTTTATGCCAAAACAAGGGTCCTGGGCTGGCGGCCACTCCCAAGCGAGCCCTTTCCCCCCCACCCCACC